AGAAAACTCAAAAAAACTTTTTAAAAATAATTTTAGCAGGCAAATTTGCCTGCTAGACGGTTTAAGGGATAAAGAAAAAAGGAAATAGCAAGAGAGCTAATCAAAACAGACTTGTTAATGTTATTTAAATCGATAAGCATTCCAAAGCGAAGCTCAGAGACAATAATACTAAAATAGTAAGATAAGTGTCTTATATTCTTTTAAAACATAATTTGGCTACAAAGATGCAATGAAGTAGCAAACTGAAAAAAAGAACTACACATCGACCCTAGTAAAAAAAAGGAAAAAAGAAGTGCTCCAAATAGCCTCAAATCAAAAAAAAAATATAAAAAAGAAAAAAGAATAGATTAAGGTAGTAGAACAAGTTCAAAAGAAGAATTAGATATACTAATAAAAAAAGTAAATAAATAGGTATAAACTAGCAAGTAGTTCAGTTAAAATAAAACTTAAAATAGATTATGACAAGCTATAGATCCTGACTAATGAACTGTGTATTTGATATTTGTAGTAGATTAAGAAGAAGCAGTAAAGCTAATTCTACTTTGGCAGGTCATATATAGATACCAATAGACAACCGGGTGAGCTATACTTTAGGTTTAAAAACAGTATAGCTATAAATAGAAATCACATTTTATTGAAAATATAAAATAAAGTTGTAACATGATTATCAAAAAAAAAAAACAGTAATTAGAAAAAAAAATTAAACTATACTTATATACCTATATTGTATATACTCAAAGCTAAAATATGCCTTTTATATATATAAATATATTCTTTTTAAATTATAATTAAAATATTGTTTGTAACTTTTTAAAAATCTCACATATTGATTTAGTATTTATATTTTTAGCTTTAACTAAACTTATTAACCAATTAAAATAGCTTTAAATACTGTATTATGTAATAAGGACATGCCTTTTGAACTTGAAACATGCCATAAGCATGCCCTTAGAAACATGTCTTGTGCCAGGACTCTGAAATATATATAGAGGGGTAAGATTTTACAAAAATCACTAAATTTAGAAAGATTTGCAAAGAAAAGGTCAAAAATAAGCAAACTAATTACTATAAATAAAAATAATCTGAACAAAAAGAATCAAAAATAAGCAAACTAAAACCTGATCTATCTATATATATTTCGGGGTTCTTTCATGCCCCTGTGCCCTAAAACCTAGTTATAATTAAATAATATTATAATATTAGCTCCTGCATAAGACTCATGTAAGAAATTTTAATTCTTACTCTTAGTAAATAAATAATAACATATAATGTGTTTCTCCTAAATAGATTTTTACTTTTTATAATATAAAAACTACAATTTACTCTCATTTATATTGAAGACATTAAATTAAGAAAAAGCCTTCACTATAGCTTATAATGAGAGAATACAATATTATTTCGCTATATCAAATCGGAGTTTAATAATTCTATCAGTTATGTACATACGTACGTATGTATATACTTTTTTTAACATACGTAACCATTACAAGTTATTTGGTTGATTAATATAAATAATAGTTAGTTGGCAACTAGTTAACAACTAACGATTAGTTGTAGTTGATCCAGTTGATAGTTAATCGATTAGTAGTTGATTTTTCAACTAATTCCACAAGAAAACGACCTTTTGAATTTAATTTATTATAATACTATAAAATATAATAATGTAAATAAGTTTTATTTCTGAAATTTTTAATTTTAAGATGTACTCATATACGTTCCTGGTTTTAGCGCGGCGCGACTGTGTCGCGCAGCTAACGATTTGGCCTTGAAAATCACGTTATAGATCATATGTCTCATAATAACGATGTTATTGTAAAATATATGTAACAGAAAGACTACCGAGTTTCTGGTTCCAAAAAATAGTATCAATTAATAGTTTATGTTTGTACTACGTATTGTTTAACGAACATTGTACGTATGGTTTGAACAATGAGCGAAAATTATCATCTATATCTCATTTTATTAACGTTAATGTACAATATATAAATTTCTATTCAAATTAAATAATAGTACAGTATATACAATTTATTAATATATATATCGACACAAAGCTATAAAAAAAAAACAAATTGAAATCCAAGCCAACCAGTTACTATGAATTAATAATTAGTTACTGGTTAATAATATACCAGTTCAATAATATTATGAATGTTGAATTTGAATAAAATCTAACCTTTCAAATTATCTTATATCATTGTATAATAAACAATATTTATTCATCGGCTAAATGAAATTATCGGGAATTTAACGAATATCCTGTGTTTTTTATTCATACAAGCCTTATGGCTGTGTACTTTTTAATCGCGTGTTTAATTTATTGTGGATAGTAAAGACAGAATCAAAGGAATTAATAAATTTCGCCAACTTTTTATAACAAGGAATCATTTAATAAATTTTTTTAGTTTCACAAAAGTCAGAACCGAGTTTAGGACCAGTCCTGAATTTTGCAGCTTGATATTACAGTATTGTGAACACACCGTGTTCATTCTAAATGACACTGATAATTATTTAATGAAATTTCTAAATATAGTAGTGTGTAGACAGACAAGATCGATCGATTTATCGGCTGTGGTGGCTTCGTAATAATTCTTTTGAGATCTTGAAAGACATGTAAATAATCGCGTTTGTATGTGATATATACGTCATGTGAAAAATTCATTAAAATTATTTACAATGATGTAATACAAGCCCTGTGACAAAGCCTTTTTAAATAATTTCAAAAGATCCGTATTTTCTTTGATCAGTTAGTTTTAATGCAAAGCCTTCACACACGAGTATAAACTTAATAGAAAAAAAAAAAATTTATAAATTTCACACTAAGCCGTTACTTGCTATTCGTACGAACGTATAAGTATGTAATGCATTACTCTTGTGGCAAAGTCCTTAATTAAAACAAATTCATTTTATTGAAATCATGCTAAGCCGCATCAATGGTTGATGGAAAATCCAGATTTTTTTAAGATCATTACTCATCACTATATCTGTGATCACGTGCCGGGAAATCATCGGTCGAACGAAGTTAAAATTGAAAAGACGAATCATTTACATGACATACAATAAAATTTTACAATAAAGATAATAGTTAGGTTATCTCTCCATAATTTATAGAATGATCTGATTGACTAAAAAAAACAAATAAATAAATCGTGATAATCGTTTAAGTCAAAGAACCCGCTGTGATTGGCTGAATTTTGTGATCAATCCTTACAATCAATTTACGACAAAATTTATGTACTTTTTGGACATTAAAGCGACAATTCTGTCAATTAAGGCGATGATACTTTAAATGATTTAAACCATGACAATGAGAATGGATTCTAAAAGTTTATTTAAAATACAAAGTATGTTTTGCTTGTTACAAAATAGGACATATAGCAAGTATAGTCAACATAACATCATTATTCATTACAAACGTTATCCTATAATTTAAATATGTAAAATATTACAAACGTCCTTTTATGTTGTGAACATGTATATAATTAAAAGAGGTACGTAAAATTTAATTATAATCAAATTATATCAAAGCTTAATATAATAAACCACCAATGAATAAAGCAACAAAAGAACCAATGATCATTCCAAAACCGTCAACACGAACGCTTGAAGCAGCTGCTGCTTTGGGAGCGGTTGAGGATGTTGGAGCAGCACTTCCAGCAGGACTTTTTTTTTTTTTTTAAAAAAAAAAAGTGTCAATTATTGCAAATAATTAAAGAAAAGCTTAAAAATACTTACGATGGAGCGGCGCCCTTAGGAGAGCCACCACTAGGACCAGCAGCAGCGGGAGTAGGAGCAGGACCAGCGGCGGCAGTACCACCAGTACCAGAGGGAGCAGCAGCAGGAGCACCAGCGGGAGCAGCAGCAGAAGTAGTAGGACCAGCAGCAGGAGGAGCATTAGGACTAGCAGCAGGACTAGGAGGTGCCTTAGCGGTAGTGGAAGTACTGAGATTATAGAAAAGTATGAAACATATTTAGAGAAAAAAAAATTGAGTTTCAAAGTTACAAACTTAACTTACTCTGTTGCTGCTGGTGCTTGGGCGAGAACGCCAGAGGCGATAAGAATACATAGAAAGAATAAAATAATCGTATTTTTAGTGATATTCATTTTTGTATTAGGTGTGAATACTTTTTTTTTATTTTTTCACTTTTTTAGTTCAAGTAGACGAAGTTTATCATTAATTAATTTTTACAACTTAGTATTCTGAATAAAAGGAATGAGAACCCATATTTATAAGAAACCATGAGCATAGACGTGCCATTTTAGTTAAAGATGCATTAGCTAACTAGTTTTGAACATATCCGCTCTTTCCGTGTCGGGTGCAGAACGCCTCTCTCTTTATGATAAAGTCAATATGCATAAAAAAAAATTTTTTTTTTTTTTTGATCAATAGAATGATCAAGTACATACTAATCGTGATTCAAGTTATGATGTTGAATTAATAGCAAGCATAATGATTTGGTGGTTCAATACATAAAAGTGCGATTATTTTATTTTATTTTTTTTTACAAATTAAGTCCTTTATAATTTAATGTGTACTGTATTGTATGCACTAAATGAAAATATTTAATATGGATAAATCATTTTTCTATGTAACTCGATTATTTTCCTTTAAATGGTACGTTTATACTAAAAAAAAATTATGTAATAAATTCTTGAACTAACAACTTCATAATCTAAATAAAATATACATACAATTTAGATACTAGAAAATGGGCCGCTATTCAAAATTTTAGAGAAGGATTACTTCAGTTATCACTTTAACAAATGTAATTGCATGAGTTAGAATGATAGATTTAACTTTATATTCCTATTAAATTAAGCATCTTTTTTCAACCTTATATTAATAGAGAGAAAATATTATATAACAAACTTCGTCTTATTCATTTTGAAATGTATCGGTATTAAATTTTGAAATTCTGGTCGTCCAACCTGAAACCTGGAATGATTAATCAACCCGTAATTTCTTTTTTTTTTTATGAATTGATCACAAGATCGCGATATGATTGGCCGATTATCTATCGTGGGGCTTACACATATGAATGGTAGTTTATAAAATTTAAAATTTACCCAAATGATAAAGTTCCCAGTATTTTACCGATTTTCCCCGACTAACTATGTAATTTACCATAGTAAGTTACCACACAACTCTAACTCTGGACTTATATATTGCATGAATGCCGTAAATTACGTGATTTTCATTGCTATATATAAATTATCCTTATCATTATCTGTTATAACGCAAGTACGGCGTACGCACATATTAATATTGTAAGTACAGGCGTTTAAAGGGAACTGGCTCTAAATAGTCGCTGATGTGACTCGGGTCGATTCTTGCTTGGCATTGCTTCCTATTTATAGCTGATATGGGAAAAAGTGCAGAAATAAAAATATAAAGATTGGATAGATATAATATATATGCCAGTTTTTAATAGTAGATTGACCTTTGAAAAATGTATATAAAGAATGAAACATCCCATATCAATAAACATTTCGTTAGATCTCAACATTAAGAAGCATTCTGTTTTTTATTTTTATTTATAGTACCCAGTTTTTTTATATATATAATATATATATAAACTATAGAGTTATTGGGTGCGAAACATCCAATAATGAGAATTATTTTTTCTACGTAGCTAAATGATTTCATGTGATCCGCAGCTGTATTTTTAGTATGTCCCGAAGGGGCCAGAAGCTGGCATATTAAATTTTACTGCCAGATACGAAAGTTATTGGTGCTTCAATAACGGTATTATCCGTCTAGTTATTTTGTAAGCCTTTTTATAATAGGATGCTGGATAATTCTATTGATATTATATATTTAATTCTAAAAATTGACAAAATTGTGGTATGACGTGTCCTGATTATATGATCTGCAGCCGAAGATTAATAATTCTGTAATTGCGATATATATACTACGTATATATTGCATTATACAGTATATACGTATCCGAAAACAAAATCGCAGTTTACAAAAAATGCTAAATCTAAATATATATACATTAAAACAGTTTACTGTTCACCGTATCTATTCTTTATATTATGCTTTTCATGATACAGTATATTTTATCCCAATTCATTTTTTTACTTTATGAAATTTATATAAACGTAGTTAAAGAGATGCGCAAATGGGTTTTGTTTGAAAAATCAAAGTTCACAATCTACATTTGAAAAAGAAATGTTATTAATAATATAAGCAAGTTAATAATATTACAGTAATGGGTACATATCTGTTATTTGTACTAAATTTAGTACGTACAAAGAATTAATTTAGTACAGTTTAAAAAGTTAAATTTTAAAAAAAATTTATTACGTATTAACTTTAAATTAAATTTATGCAATACGTAATCCTATATTTATATTTTGTTCGTGTATATTTAAACATTAGCTAACTTATTAAAAGATATTAAAAAGTTCAAAAATTTGGTTGCTACTAAAAATGCAAAAAAAAAAATAAAATACAAAAAAAAATTGATAACAAAGATTTTATTTAATAAAGTTTTCTTAAATTTTTAATAAAGTTGTAAAGCTATTTTTTCTAATTCTAATAAGAATAAAATTATTAAAATTGGTTTAGTAAATAAAAAGTTATAAATTATTTAAGTTTACTAATTTTTTAATATATTTTTTTTATGTTTCACTAAAAAAAGACTAATTATTTTTAAACTGTTATCTTAAAACAGGTTTAATTAAATTATTTTAAAAAACTACTGAGGTTGCCCAGAATTATAACAATCACGTGACCAGCGTGATCACATAATAGCTATTTAGCATGTTGGTGTTAGTAGTTATATAACACAACCTCAGAGAGGTAGATCAGTAGTAGATCTAACAGATTATATTCTAGATTGATTCTAGAATAATCTTTTGATTTTTATTGGTTCGCAGTTGCTAGAAATTTTACTTATACAGTAACTAGTATATACTCAATTTTTATGCTTTACAATAACTTCTGCTATTGCTATACATCTTGTTAGATTTTAATATTTATTTATGCTAATTGTTTTGTAGTGTCAAGAAATGGTTAATTACATTATTATACAGAATGCACTAAAAGGATCGTTATGGCAAATCTTGTACAGGTGTCACATTTGGGATGGAAAGATAAGTTAAATACTTACTGCCCATGAACTAAATTGTCATTCCACTCATATATCACAAATATATGCAGTTTTACCATTTTCTTATTCATACCAATTTGCTTCAAATAATTAGCCTTTAATAGATTTCTACTAAGAATGCTATAGTTCTCTTTTTTGTAGTTATATTATCTTGAAGTTCCAATAGCTTTTTGACCACAGCTTTTGGATATTGAATAGGTTCATTCACAGGAACTCATTTACAGAGATTTATATAGTAGAAATATTTTGCAACTTAATTTGCAAAGCGTATATATCGCCGATCTTAGACTTTCTAATAAAGTTGTGGAATTCTGCTGTATATAGCACTTGAGGTTTTGATAGATCAACTATATATTCAGGCATCAGATATTTATAGTCTTGGAGTTATGATTACAGAAATTTTGACCGAATATTAAAATTATCAAGATTTATCAGTGGGTCAAGACCTAAATGTTTAAGACCAGATTGTTATATAAAATGTACGGTTAAAGATTTTGATAAATGACCTACTGCAACGAAATTTTGAAATAATAACATGCTGGTTAGATGAAATAGATTAGGAAGATAATAAAATCAAAAAAAAAAAATTTTTGGAAGCTGATAAGATCTAACCAAAACCGATTAGACAAATACAACTATCAAGACTTATATACTAGCAAGATGTATTATACAAAAAAAATTTTAGAATGTGTTAGTTAGCCGGCATGAATTACGAAGGTTTGACAATTCTATTTATTATTTTTTATGTTTCTCTTTATGCTTGATTTATTTTTCCAGGCATCAGATATTTATAGTCTTGGGAGTTATTATTACAGAAATTTTGACTGGACAAAGACCATTTTATGGAATTCTGCTTAATGATGATGCATCAAGAATATCAAAATTATCGAAACATTTCATATGATCAATATTGAACTCTCCCTGATGATCACTTGGACCACCCTCCTCACAGAAAGGAAAAGTAGAAAAAGTTTACTGGAGAGTCGTATAGCTACAGGACGGTTTGCAGCGAGGTCATAGTGGACTTCTTGCTACGTTCGGTATGCAAGCCAGAAGCTGAAAACCAGATTTGTAAAGGGTAAAGTGATATATTTCGCATGCAGGTGGTGCCCTGCATGAAGTGAAGTATAATTCTAGTGGTATTTTCATTACCATCGACGAAGTTTTGTAGACTATAGTTTGAGAGAGATCTTGGTTGTTTTTAGAGAGGTCAACAACTGCTTCGAAACTCCCCTCTATATCTAACATGCAAGCCAGAAGCAAAGATGCAAAGGAGGAAAATGCAGGCGGCACTCGCTGTTGTGTATAAATTTTGGTGGAAGAAATTCTGTTAGCGAAGCCTTTAGAACTCCTTGAAAACCCAGAGGTATAGTAAACTTTGAAACTTTTTGATTTCAAGCTATACTCTTTTATCCTATACAAGTAGTTTCTTTATTACACTCTCTCATTGCTGCCGATCTTCCAAAAATTTTGATAAAAAGTGGGGATTTGGCTTACCCCCTCCAAATGATCAGCATAGATTACACAGTGTTTACATTCCCATATCCAGTTGACATGGAGATGGCAATCACGTGTTTGATAAGCGAACATAGTGCTACCGGTTTTGGCTTGGGGCCTCTGGAAACTAAAGAGTCAGTGTGGGACGATGACAGTACCTGATTAGAAGAACCCAGACGAAAACTTCCGGAGATAGTAGGGTCGGAGAGGAATTAATAGTATAGGCAAAGCCTTACAATAGAGATATGTAGTGTTGCTATAAGCATATAATTTTTATACTCATCTGGCACAGGTTATAATAGTGCATTTTTTCTTTTTCTCGTCGGGATCGCCGACTTTTCTTTTTCACTTTTTTTACTGGTCCATTTATGATGGAATTATATTTAGGATATTTTTTTCTGTAGTTTTTGGTTTTAATTTTCCTTTCATTCTTCTAAATGGTTTTGGTCTTCATAAACGTGGTATATATAATCTTGCTTATAGAAGAGT